GTGGGAGTCCAGCGACATAGCCATTACGCTAACTGCTGGTTCCCAAATTTTTGAAAATATATAAAGTACAAAGACTATTATAATAAAAATAGTGACCTCACTACTTGTAATGAGTATTAAATTTTGTCATGTTTGTCTTCAGTCTTAAAAAGAAACAGGTAATATATTCATATAACCTTCTTTTTAAAACATTAACAGAGAAAGCTAAAATTCAGTTGGACCCTCACCTGCATCTCCACTTAAGCAACCTCTACCCAGTCAGCACAGTCTCTCTGTTTTCACATTTATACATGTGCTCATCAACATTTGATCTATGTGCTTTTGGAAATAATTTATATAAATGACTCATTTTGTTTATCATTCTATATTTTCCTCCTTTTTTTTTTTTTTCTTGTGGAGAGGTTTTATGGTATAGGGTATGTGCACTCACCAGAAAGACAGAGAGAGACAGAGACACGGAAAGAAAGAAATCACCCTCCAAGGGGCATGGCCACACTGTCTAGGATTCTCCCCATTCTCCTGTTGAAATTTTGGGCACACACGTACATGCACCCACTTGGCATGAGTTTCAAGCCACCAGGTCTAGGACACAAACTGCAGATGACCACGTGGGAGTCTGGTACTTAAACCACTATGTCACCTGCTGGCCCCAGTATATATACATACATACATACACACATACACACACACACACACACACACACACACACACACACATATATATATATATTTTAACCTTGAACTTGCCATGTCTAAGGTTAAGTCTCCTCTCTGAGCCACATGAAACTCTTTCTTGGGTCTTTTGTTTCCTCACAGTTTCTTAGATTCATGGCTGGTACTAGCACATTTTGTCAGCGTTAGAGGGAAATTCTAGTTACATTCACTCTCTGTGTCTGCATTTACCTTGTGATGTGGGTCAGAGCACGTTTTCAAAAGTTAGACCACAATGCTCTAGGACACACAGCTTACTTTAACAGCTGTGTATCCACAGGGCCCTTGCAGAACCTGACATAGCCCCTCACATGGGAAACGTTTATGCAAAGGACAAAATGGAAAAAAAATGCATCATTAAAAAAATAATAAAAAGTCCAGGTGGGAAACCTTTTCTATGTGATCTGCTGAAATTCAATCTAAATCTTCCTGAAAATTCCTCAGATAGTATCTCCTCTGAGGACTCCGGGTATATCCCAGGCTGTTTCATGTCTACACCCAGAGCTGCAGAGGGCAGCAGTCTGCACTGCCCTGGCACGCCCACAGCTCCCCTCCGGGATCCTCCAGACCTGGAGCTTAGCCTGTTGCAATTTGGGGTTGGACTGTGGTCCTGGAATTCTTGGAACCTGGCCAAGCCAAATGAAAGTTACTTTAGAAATCCTGTTATGAGAAAATTTGAAGAAATTGAAATCGCAAACATATGCATTTTTTAAAAATCACACTCATAGAAATCATAAATAATCTTTAAATTTAGGCGGAAAATGTTTCTTGCAAAGCCTTGGTTATTTTCTGTATTCCCATATTTGGTATCCACTTCAAAATATGGTTTTTGCCTATAATAAAATTGAAATAAAATATTACAGTTTCCAAGATGGAAATACTTAAGATGTAGAGGACTGGAGAGAAAGAAATCTAGTCCTGATTCTTCCATCCTTTTGCTGAGGAACTTTAGGCAAATCACTTAACCTCTCTGGACTTCCTGAGCATCCAATGAAGGCTTGGGAAAACAAACAAACAAACAAACAAACAAACTTCAACATTATAATGTTGGCTTTATTTATTTCTCTGTTGGTGAAAATGTGAGCAAGAGGAAAACCCCACTAACTCTTTATCCAAATGAAGAAAGTTATTTTACAGCATAGAAGATGGTTGAGAGAAAGGGCTTAATAATGGGAATTGTTAAGTAGACCCAAATAGAACTTATTTTATAAAAACAAGAGCAGAGGCAAAAGGAAGGAACCCTTGCAGAAGTAGAGTGTGTATACGTGGATATGGGGTGTGGGCCCCTTCTTTCCATAAAATGCCTAATTTCTATCTTCTGAATGCCATGTTTCTGTTTATTAAGGCATTACAATGAGGAAAAGAATATGTCTACTAAACACCTGCTCTTTTTTAGAGAAAATGCTAACAAGGATGACTTAACAATTGTTTTTAGTTTATCCATATTTTCTACAATGAGTTCTATAATTTGTCAAATAATACTAGACATATTTTTAATTATTTAATTTTATTTACTTATTATTTTAATTTGCTATAGAGCACACATGCTCACCATAGAGAGACAGTGAGAGAGAAAGAGGGGAAGTGCAAAAGCAAGCCACCAGGTCTGGGACTTAAACCATAATTGAGCATGTATCCAGCCTCAACAACCACGCCACCTACTGGCCCCACTAGATATATTTTTTAAGTAAACGAGTGGAAGACAGATTTTTGAATCTGGATTCTTTGTCTTATAAAATATCAGAATTCCATGAATACTAAAATGTTATTGCTTTTGCATTCAAGAGTTGAAGTTAATTCTGGTCATCAGAGTACAAGAATAAGGATGGTCTAATGCCTCAGTCTAACACCATGCAGTGCTCAGAAAAGACAGCCAGGGAGCCATGTATTGGTACACTTGGAACTTTGGTTTAATTGGTGGTTAGGCCTTTTACTCATATTTAACTCCTTCATGACATCAACAGTAATAATAGAAATGTTAGCAGCAACATCGTCTTACACTCTTTAAGTTTGAAGAAGAACTTTTTGAAACACGTGAAGAATTTGCTAAATTAATCCAAGGTAAGTAAGAGCGTTGTTATTCATAATATTGCATTAGGCCAAAGAGATGAGATGGTCTTTGCATTATTGCTATGGAAGAATCTCTCTCTTGTTCTCTTTTCCTTTCTCTCACATTCTAAATAAACGTGAAAATAACGTCAATAGTAGTTAACAATATCTTATCTCTTTGTACTGAGGTAAAAATTGAATCTTGCAAATAGGAGCGCCACCTCCAAGCTTTTAAATTGTATGAACAAATAATTCCAATTCTTTCCTACCCACTTCGTTTCCGCAGGCCGAGGGATGGTAATTACTTTCTGCAGAGAACCACTTTTGTGATACTGTACTGTTTATTTCTTTGTTGCTTTTCATTTCTCCAGGACCTACTTAAAGTCTTATATTAAATTCTCATGGGACCAGCAGTTAGCGTAATGGCTATGTCGCTGGACTCCCACGTAGTCGACCGCGGTTCGAGTCCCCGACCCGGCGGCTTAAACTCATGCCGGGCGTGTGTGCGTGCGTACCCAAGATCCTGAGAGGAAAATGGAGGAGAAGGGATTGTGGCGTGGCCATCCCCCCGGGGAGTGATTTCTTGCTTTCTGTTTCTCTGTCTCTCTCTGTCTGGCAAGCACACGTGCCCTATACCAAAAACCTCTCAAAAAATAATAAAAAATCTCACTGCTAAGGTAATAGATGTGGTGAATTTTTCATTGTTTCATTGTTAGACCCTGAATACTAGTAGACCCCATTTAACTTGCTAAATGGGAAAAGTGCAAGCCAACCTTATGTTGACCTACTGAGACAGAGATATAGACTGACAGAGAGATAAAGTCTGTTCATTCTTTTCATCAAACCATTGCTTTTTTTTTTCCAGAGAGATTTTTGCTATAGTACCCATGTACTCGCCAGAGAGACAGAAAGAGACAGAGAGACAGAAAGAGACAGAGACAGAAAGCAAGAAATCACCCCCCAGGGGGTATGGCCACGCTGCAATCCCTTCTCCTCCATTCTCCTCTTGGGATCTTGGGCCTGGTGTGAATTTTAGGCCACTGGGTCTGGGACTTGAACCATAGTCGACTACATGGGAGTCCAGTGAAGTAACAATTATGCCATCTGCTGGTCCCTAAACCATTGCTTTCTGTAGTTATGAGGTGTTTATTTGAATGCAATGATTTTGAGGAAGACTGAAAAGCAAGCCTACAATAGAGAGCTATCACCCAGATGGGAAATCACTGGGATTCTGATGGAGACAAGGAAGGGAATAGGCAAAGGTTCCTGGAGGAGAGTAGTAGGAACAGTGTGTAAAAGATACGTAGAGGCAAATTTCCTTTTTAAAAAAAAATTTATTTATTTAATGTATTATTATTATTATAAATATTTTTTAATTTGACCAGAGAGATAGAGAGAGACAAGTTTGTTTGTTTGTTTGTTTGTTTCTTTCTTTCTTTCTTTCTTTCTTTCTTTCTTCTTTCTCAAGAGAGATTTTTGCTACAGGGCGTGTGCACTTGCCAGAGAGACAGAGAAAGACAGAGAGACAGAAAATGAGAAATCACCACAAAGGGGGTTGGCTACACTGAAATCCCTTCTATTCCAGTCTCCTCTTGAGATTTTGGGCATGCATGTGCACACAACTGGAGTGAGTTTGAAGCCACTGGGTCCAGGACTCAAACCGCAGTTGACCATGTGGTAGTCTGGCGAAGTAACCATTAAACCATCTGCTGGTCCTGCCAGAGAGGCAAATTTCAATGAGCTCTTTGAATTTCTGGCTGAGGTGAAATAGATATGCTTATTTCTTATAAACAGCGGGGAGCAAGGGAAAGGATTGAAGCAGAGTCTACGATTTCAGAAAAGCAAGGAGACAAGGCATGTGGGGTAGATAAGAAGGGCCCATCAGAGGTTAAGTTAGCACTCAGTATCCACAGTTGTTCAGAGGTAATTTAAACTAATGGGAAGGAGCGTAAAAGAATAAGGCCTAAAAAGGGGGAATCCTTGGTCAGAAAGACAGCTTTTATGTCTGTTTTTCTCTGTATTTCCCAGAGTACTCATCATTGTCTTATACTCTACACATTTTTGTCTGAATAAATATTTTTCCTTTTATTTAGTCTCTAAAAATAGTTTGGTAACTATTATTCTATTGCATAATTCCATTCTGTAGCACCTTTGGAGTTAAAGAAGATTCAGTTGCTATCATCAAGGACAAACTTAATTCAACTTTATTTTTTGTGTTTTAAGGTGGAACCCTGATGTATGAACAAGTACCCATGGTCGAAATCGATGGGATGAATTTAGTAGAAACAAGAGCCATCCTAAGATATATAGCTGCAAAATACAATTTGTATGGAAGGAACCTGAAGGATCAAGCCTGGTACGAACAAAATTTCTTATTTAGGACAAAACTTTAAAAAAATAGGTTTGTTAGCAAGTCATATGTAGTGTAGTTCTTTTATTTTTTTAGAGGTTTTTGCTACAGGGCGCGTGCGCTCACCAGAAAGACAGAGAGAGACAGAGAGACAGAAAGCGAGAAATCACCCTCCCCGGGTGGTGGCCACACCGCAATCCCTTCTCCTCCACTCTCCTCTCGAGATCTTGGGCACACATGCACACGCGCCCAGTGTGAGTTTAAGCCAGCAGGTCTGGGACTCGAACCGCAGTTGACTACATGGGAGTCCAGTGACATAGCCGTTACACCATCTACTGGTCCCTGTAGTGTAGTTCTTAACAAATGAGCAGAAAATTCTCTCCTTTTTTTTTTTTTTTTTTACCTTTTATTATGGAATAAATCTAACACAGATCAAATGAGAGAGAATAGTATAAGCTCAATTCAACTATGATTAATCCTTGGTCAATTGCAATTTTTTAATTATTTTTTTTTCTCTCAAGTACAAAGCAAGGACAAACACATTAGTAAAGGAAATCTGCCGTTTTCTCGTGACTCCCTGCTTGCCTCCACTAGGTGGGAGCAGCACACGAAGTGGACCCACAGGAACTCAGACACCAGGGATGGGGCGTCTGATCCTGGGAAACCAATTTTGAATGTGGCAGTTGGAAGCCAACTCATTACAGCAGATATTACCCCAACTCAGCCTTCGAGGCATCAATTAATTCTCACATCCACACCCCAGTCCTTTTGCAAGAGGCAGAACCATCTACAAACTGGAAAAACAGTCTGGTTTTACCCAAAGTTTAAAACGGCAACCCTTCATTGTTCTGCAAGACATACTCCAGGGTCATGGTGCATTATTTTATTAGGAAGCATGAAATACCTGCTTGTCTATCCTTTCTGAGGGGTTCCATGCTGTCATCCTCTCTGATTTATTACCTGGAATACGTCTATAAAGAAAAACATACCTTCCTCTACTATCTGGTTAGGTGGAGATAGTTTTCTACAGGAAAGACAAGACTGATAGTTCTTTCCCTTTGTTTAGCAATTGTCTAAATACAGTCATAAGCTACATAACCATATTTTGGTTAATGATAGACTGCTCATCTGACTGTAGTTCCATAAAATTAAATAGAGCTGAAGAAATCCTGTCTCATAGCCATTGTGAGGCTACAGCACAACATTACTCATATGTTGGTGGTGATGCTGATGTAAACACATCATGTTGGTGGTCATATAAAAGTAGAGGTCCTTAGGGAGACATTTCAGAAGGCATTGTTATCCTGGGAGATCACAGCTTTCAGTGGGACAAGATATTGAGGAGGAAGACTGATACTGATGACCCTGACCCTGTGTAGGCCTAGGCTAATGTGTATATTAGTTTTTAATAAAATAAAAAAATTTAAAGTAAATAATAATACATTTAAAAAATAAAAACTTATATAAAGAATAAAATATGTATTTTTAATTGCCAGAAGGTGCATGTGCTTGCCAGAGAAAGAGACAGAGAAAAAGGGAGAGAGA